TTTTGTAGTTTCTGATTCTTGTGTGAGACTCAAGCCTTCAAGTTTAGGTCTGCTCCTTTTTGTAAACTTTGAGTCTTTGTGTTTTACTTTTTGGGCATGAAAACCTCTAAGCTTCTGGTTCTCTCTTTTGATTTTGTTTTGGAGTGGCCAGATTGCTTTTGTCTTCTGTCAGATATTAGAATTGCTACGCCTACTTTTTTCTTAGTACAATTTGCTTCGTATATTTTTTTCTATCGTTTCACTCTAAGATAGTGTCTGTCCTTGAAAGTGAGATGAGTTTCTTGGAGATTCGGGCCCAGGAAAGGTGCTAGTCTAGGGCAGCTGGTCTCTGTGCATCCAGAGATGCAAAGGGAGATGGGGGCAGGAAGCAGCCCCAAGGGCTCCTGGGACTGCACTGAGTAGCTGGGCGGTTCTGGATGTAAAGGATCAAGAAGAGGAAAGGTCAGCTCTGGCATCCAGGAAAGAGGGTGGTGGGTTGTGCAGCCCAGGGAAGCAAAGGGAGGTGATGGCGGGACCAGGTCCCCAAGGGCTCCCGGGAGAGAGGCTGGTGGGTTGTGCAGACCATGAAGCAGAGGGAGGTGAGTGTGGGGCAGGCACAGAGTGCTCCTGGGGACCTGAGATGGAACCTGGTTGGTCTGGGTGCAAAGGATCAGGAAGCAGTGGTGGTTCCCAGGTGTCTGGGGTGCCAAGACAAGGAATGGGACAGGACCCAGGCTAGGTGGAGAGACCAGCGAGGGAGATGGGAGGATGAATGAGGCTGGGGGAGTCAAGGCGCAGAGGGTAGCCTTGGACTTACCCCTGAGAGAGGCCTGTGGGTAGGAGAGAGGCCTGGGGGTAGTGCAGGCCTAGGGAAGCAGAGGGAGGTGAGGGTGGAGCCAGGCCCAGAGTGCTCCTCGGGACCAGAGTAGTAACTGGGTTGGTCTGGATGCAAAGGATCCGGAAGCAGTGGTGGTGCCCCAGGTGTCTGGGGCGTCAAGAGAAGGAATCTCTTATTTTTATTTTATGTGTATGAGTGTATTGCTTGCATGTATGTGAGTGCACCCGCGTCGTGCTGTGCTGCGGAGGTCAGAAGAGAGCTTCAGATTCCCCTGGAACTGGAGTTAAAGATGGTTTGTAGCTGCCGTGTGGGTGCTGGGAATTGAACCCGGGTCATCTGCAAGAAAATTCACTGCTGTTTACCTGTGAACCATCTCTCCAGCCCCCAGTTCTGGTCTCTTCTTAATCACACCTGATTCTTCAGCCCCAGCAGACCAGAACCCATAGATTCTCAATTCAAAATATCACACAAACAACCCTGATAGTCTCTGCTTCCCTTTGAAGCTTCATAAGCCAGGCCTCCATTGTCCACAACTTTCAGCATAACTGCTCCAAGCTCCACAGCTACAAACTAAGCACTCAGTGGCTTTTCCAGCTCAAAGTTCTAAGACTTCCACAATCCTTCCCAAAACACTAAGGTCAGGTCTTTCACAGCAATACCTCACTCCTGGTACCAATTTTTGTTCTAGCTTGTTTGTCCATTGCTGTGACAAAATACTCTGACCAATACCAACTTGGGGAAGAAATTGTTTATTCAGCTTACATCTCCCATCTTCTGGGTCACAGTTCATCAAGGAGCCCAAGGTAGGAACTCAGGGCAGGAATCTGGAGGCAGGAGCTGAAGCACAGACCATGGAGGAACGCTGCTTAATGGCTTGCTCCTTTGACCCATGCTCAGACTGCTTTCTTATACAACATAGGCCCACCTGGCCAGGGTTGCCCCCACCTACATTGGGCTGGGCTCTCCCACATCACTCAGTAATGAAGAAGATGCTCCACAGACATGATCACAGGCCAGTCCAATGGGGGAAATTCCCCAATTGAGGCTCCTTCCACTCAGGTTGACACCAAAGCTATCCAGCACACTAGTCCTGTGTGTTTCCTAAAGTCAGAAACTGAGGCACAGAGAACAGGACTGGAAGGCAAAAGAACTCGAGGAAAGGTGCTGGGGAACTGAACTGTGACAATATTAAACCGCTAGATTATTGGACCTGGGCTAATCTGTATGCCTGAGTCATTTGACAGTCAGTCAGTAACAGATTGCCACAGTGGTGTTTCATATTCTGGTCAATGAAATCTCCAGTGCATCCTTATGATGTGTGAAATATCTTTTCAATGACCTTGTAATAAAATCTATGTATGAGGGAGGTTTTATCATGCCACTTTTTTTCTGACGGGCTTCTAGGCAGTGTTCCAGTTGAAAGTATCTTCAGATTGGAGAAGGTAAGAGGCTGCTCACACCATTACCTTTGCCTGTTAGTCATGTTTCTGAAACATTATTTATGATTGTAAGTCATTCATAGCATTGCAGCTATAGGTGAGCTCATCCCAGCATGGGGGTGATGCAGTCTGTAGGGAAGTGCCTGCAAGCCATGCAGGATGCCATAGAAATGGGGCAGTGGCAACACTAGCTCTTTGAGGAAGAAAGTGAAAAAAATACCTGGCACATTTGAAGGGGTGAACACTTAACTAGGGTTCTGACTGAGTTTTGAGGCTCTCGGTGAGAGGCTGCCTTGATTGAAAAACAAAAGCGAAACTGCTTATGTGTGTCCTAGCTTCTTCCCAGTGTTGCCATTAGAACTATGAAAACCCCTGTCAGGAGCGGACTTCCCAGATCTGCTTCATCATCTCAGGTGACCTCTTGCACGGGGCCTCGCATGTGCACAGAGTGCCTTCAGCAGTGACCACTTCTCTTGTAGATGTGGATACTCACAGCCTGGTGCACTGTGTGTATTAGGCAGCCCTGGGCCTGTCTGAACTAGTTGTTTGGCTTGTCCAGCTATTTTTCTTGCAACTTATTTGAAGAGACTGGGTCTAGGTGTGACAGTTTGGAGTTTGCTGATTGTGTTCCTGCTGCTCTTCTGAATTTCCTGTAAGTTGCCTGTAAGTTACTGGCAGCTTGATTAGTCATGCATTCATGTACTTTTTACTTTTACATAATTTTAGGCTTCTAGAAAAATTTTCTGAGCAACACAGAGTTCTTATATAACCAGTCCTCAGATTCCCTTAGAGTCAAGTCTTATATAACCATAGCATAATCACCCAAACTGGGAAGAAGTTAGGGCAATGCAAATACTGTTATATTAGTATATGCTAGTGTCCCTACTGTTAACTCACAGACTTTAGGTTTTGCAGGTTTTCTTGTTCATTTCTTATTTCTGGTCCAGAATCTGACTCTGGGTGTGACATTTAGTTGTCATATTTCTTTAGTCTCCTCTAGTCTGTGACAATTCCTTTTTTCCCTTTTCTTGTACAGCCTTTATACTTATAAAGACTACAGGTCATTTGCTTGGTAGAGCATCCCTCAGTTGAACTGCTGTGATGTTTTGTCTTGAATAGACTGATGTGTGTTTAGGCCAAGAATACTACCGAATACTACCTTGAACCCTTGTTTGTTTAAACAGTTTCCCTCCTTTTAGGCTTCTGGGTGCCTCTGTTGTTGCTAGCCCCAGATTTGTTTTGAGCAGACATTTCTTTCACATGTTTTTCTAGACTCCAAAATGAACCTGAATGACTTCATCAGCATGGACCCTGCAGTTGGATGGGGAGATGTCTACACACTATCTGAGTTCATATATCGGTTTAGCAGCAAAAACTGCTGAACTTGATGCCAGAATGTGGAGCTGGAGAATGTGAACAAGCCATCTTCCCATTTAGGGCAGCAGCATGGTACAGGTGGCCAGGAGATATATTTTTCTCTTTAAATTTGAGTGGAAACATTAATGAACACAAACATAAATGAATGAAATAAAACCTTTTTTGAGATTGGGGATCTACCACCAATTACAACCCCCACCCAAAAAAGACTTCAGACCCCAGCTTTCTTATTGATATATTACAGTGTGTAATTGCTAAGATATTCCTGTGATTTATTTGTAAGACATGGTGACTTACACCAGTGGTTGTGCTTGTTAAGATAGAAGTGTGGGCTTAGAGCCAGCTCTTTTGTCTGTTCTTGATGTGCCCTGTCTTTCTGGCTATACGGTAAACTCCTTGAGCACAGGGCCATGGCCTGTGGCTCTGAGAATCTCTATTGCCCATAAGAGGTGCCCAGTAAAATGTTTCTAGAGACAGCATTGCTGCTTGGAAAGGGACAATATTGTGAGCTGAATCAGCCATAAGTATTAGTCTTTTTGGACTATAATGTTGTTTAAAAAAGTTGCATATATCTCGACTGAGTGTTATTTGGCCTATATATAGTTTTAAATAAAACTGATTTAAAATTAATTTTGGTTTTGATGATGTGTGTTTTTTGGGAGGCGGGGGTAGGTGGTTGGGTGGTATTGGCATCAAATTCAGGGCCTTGTGTATGTGGCAAGTGCTCTAACACTGAGGCACACCCCAGTCCTTATGTCATATGTGTGTGTGTGTGCACATGCTTGTGTTTGTGTGCATGTGTATGTGTGTGTGCACGTGTGTGGAGGCCAGAGGTTGATGTTGGTTGTCTTCCTCTGCCACTTTCCACTCTGGTGTTTTGAGACAGGGTCTCTTACAGAACCAAGAGCTCACTGATGCTGCTAGACTGGCTGGCCAGCAAGCCCCAGGGATCTTGCTGTCCCTGCCTGCCCTTTGCTGGGATTACAAGCACAAACCACTTGTGCTGGATAGCTTTAGTGTCAACTTGACACATCTGGGTTGAGGGAGCCTCAATTGGGGAATTGCCTTCATTGGACTGGCCTATGGCCATGCCCATGGGGCACCTTCTTGATTGTTGAGTGATGTGGGAGGGCCCAGCCCACTGTGGGTGGAGACACGGGGCCTGTGTTGCATAAGAAAGCAGGCTGAGCAGGGGCCAGGGGAGCAAGTCAGTAAGCAGTGATCCTCCATGGCCTGTGCTGCAGCTCCTGCGTCTAGGTTCCTGCTCTGAGTGCCTACCTTGGCCTCCCTGATGAACTGTGACCTGGGAGATGTAAGCTGAATAAACCATTTATTTATTTATTTATTTATTTATTTATTTATTTATTTATTTATATTTATTTGATCTTTTTGAAACAGGGTCTCCCTATAGCCCAGCTGTCCTAGAACTCACTATGTAGACCAGGCTGGCCTGCCTCTGCCTCCCAAGTGCTGAGACTACAGGCATGCACCACCATGCCTGGCTTTACTTTTTTAAAATTTTTCTTTAGGAGTAATACGGATACGAACCCTGGTCTTCTGCAAGAGGTCAGTGTTCTTAACTGATCTTTTTGAAACAGGGTCTCCCTATAGCCCAGCTGTCCTAGAACTCACTATGTAGACCAGGCTGGCCTGCCTCTGCCTCCCAAGTGCTGAGACTACAGGCATGCACCACCATGCCTGGCTTTACTTTTTTAAAATTTTTCTTTAGGAGTAATACGGATACGAACCCTGGTCTTCTGCAAGAGGTCAGTGTTCTTAACTGCTGAGCCATCTCTCCAGCCCTACTTTTTTTATTTTTATGTGAGTGCTGGGGATTGAACTCAGGTCCTTATGCTTGCACAGCAAGTACTTTACCAACTGAACTATCTTCCCAGCTTCCAAACAGGACAATTTCTTACTTTATGATCTTTTTTAAAATATATTTTTTATGCTGGGCATGGTGGTGCACACCTTTAATCCCAACACTTGGGAGGCAGAGGCAGGTGGATCTTTGTGAGTTTGAGGCCAGCCTGGTCTACATAGTGAGTTCTAGGACAGCTGGGCCTACAAGGAGACCCTGTCTCAAAAAGACCAAAAAATAAAAAGGAATAGGAGGTAGGAATTGGCTAGGCAGTTAAGGTACCTGCATATTTTCCCTTATATATAAATAAAATTACTTTTATGTATATGAGTGTATTGCCTGCATGTGTGTAAGTGCACCTGTGTCATGCAGTGCCCAGAGAGGTAAGAAGAGGGCGTCAGATCTCTTGGAACTAGAATTATGGACAGTTAGCTGCCATGTGGGCTCTGGGAATCAAACCTGGGTCCTCTACAAGAGCATTCAGTGCTCATAACCACTGAGCCATCTTTCCAGCCCTATTTTATCATCTTAAGTATGGGCCCCACACTTAAATATATCTTCATGAACTTACAGATGGTCATTTAAAAAATGTATAGCTAACATGAAGAAGATAAGTTCTGGCAGGCTGTCCCACGGAAATACTTCATCCTGAGCAAAAACTATCAGGGCTCAAAGGATTGTTGTCTGATTTACAAATTGCATTTTTGGAGGATTGATTTTTTATTTTTATTTTTGGCTTATTATATGAGCATGTGTTCAGTTTGGCCTCAAAAGTATGTCTTGCCTAGCTTAGTGGTACACGCCTTTAATCTCAGCACTTGGGAGGCAAAGGCAGGCAGATCTCTGTGAGTTCAAGGCCAGTCTAGTTTACATAGAAAGTTCCAGGCCAGCCACAGCTACATAGTGACATCCTGTCTCAAAAAAAAAAAAAGTGTAATTCAGGACCATGAGATGGCTCAGCAGATAAAGGTACTTGTAGCCAAGCCTGACAACCTGAGTTTGATCCCTGCAACCTACACAGTAGGAGAGCACTGACTCCTGAAAGTTGTCTTCTGACCTACACACATAACAGCACACACTCATACAACACACACACACACACACACATACACACACACACACTATGTAAAAATGTAAACGAATAAAACCAATAAAAGCCAACTATGTCTAATATACACCAGGCAATGTCTCTGAATATTTGAACTTCCCACCCACCTGACCTTAAATTGGAAACCTATTACTTGTAGCCAGTGTTGGGAGAAAAGTTTTATAGTTTCAAGCCTGTTAAACTATCCCCTGATCATAATATTGACTGCTTAGAAGCAGCAGAAGGCTTTTTACTTTTATTTTTATTTATTTTTCCTGTTACTCCTAAAATGCTTCCAGAGACTCTCCTTTGTACATTTCAGAGTCCTGTCGGCCCTTGGGCATAGCCATATCTGAGCTTGGCCAGGCTAGAGTCCCACCCTGAGTAAGTTTAAGAATGACTGTCAGAATGTTCTCTGAATTTGCTGTATTCATGTTGTGAGAACAAATCTCCTTCCCTTGGAATTGCTAACTTGAGGCCCAGAGGCTTGACATACAGGTGGGTATGTGGACAGCCACTAGCAAAGGGCCCATCTGCAACGTATTGACAAGCAGGGTTGGGGGCTATGCAAAAATCCCAAGGGCATTCCTGAGTTTCTGCACCAGTCTGCCCAAAGCTGACAAAAATGTCTGAACTCACAATTCTGTGAACCAGGGAATTCTTCACTATGTGTATATGTGCTTGTGCATGCACACACATTTGTGCATTTGAGACAGGGTCTGGCTGACCTTGAACTTGTGACAAGCCTCCTTTCCCTGTTTCCTAAGTACTGGGATTGCAGGTGTCTACTACCAGACTCAGCTTGATTTCTGTCAGTTCTACCTGAAGCATGGGTTCCCTTAGCAAATTTGTTTTTTTCCTATCTATCTATCTATCTATCTACCTATCTATCTATCTATCTATCTATCTATCTATCTATCTATCTATCAATCATCTATCTATCTATCTTTCTATCATCTATCTATCATCTATCGTCTATCTTCTATCTATCTATCATCTTTATATCTATCTATCTATCTATCTATCTATCTCTATCATCTATCTATCATCTGTCTATCATCTTTATATCTATCTATCTATCTCTATCATCTCTATCTATATCATCTATCTATCTATCTATCTATCTATCCACTTATCATCTATCATCTATCTATCTATCTATCTATCTATCTATTCTATCTATATCATCTTATCTATCATCTCTATCATCTATCTTCTTTTTTGGCCTCTTTTTTTTTGAGACAGGGTCTCCCTGTAGCCCCAGCTAACCTGGAACTCACTATGTAGACCAGGCTGGCCTTGAACTCACAGAGATCTGCCTGCCTCCCGAGTGCTGGGATTAAAGGCATGAGCCACCATGCCCTGCTATCTATCATTTTTTTGTCTTTTTGAGACAGGGTCTTCCTGTAGCTCCAGCTGACTGGGAACTTGCTATGTAGACCAGGCTGGCCTCAGACTCACAAAGATCTGCCTGCCTCTGCCTCCCAAGTGCTGGGATTAAAGGCATGTGCCACCATGCTCAGCTTCAGTACATATTTTTATTGAGTTGTGCATTTCATACAATGCATCTTAATTATATTTAGATTCCCTCCCCCCCATACTCCCTTCCCACTGGACTTCATGTATTCTGTCATATATACTAAGGCCTATCTGGTCAAACTTTTGTACTCAGATGTCCCTTGGTGCAAGTTTATCCACTGGAGTCTAGTCAGCCTATCTAGAATCACTCTCTTAAAGAAGATAAACTCTCCCTCACCCAGCAGTAATCAGTTGCCAACAGTTGGGGCCTGTTGCCCATTTCCCCAATTCTATGCTTGTTTTTTGTCTGATCTACTTATGTTTGTCTCTATCTAGCTTTATCTATCTATCTATCTATCTATCTATCTATCTATCTATCTATCTATCTATCTATCTATCATCTATCTGTCTATCATCTATCTATCATCTATCATCTATCTATTTTTCATCTATCATCTATCTATCTGTCTATCTATCTATCTATCTATCTATCTATCTATCTATCTATCATCTATCTATCATCTATCTTCTATCTAATCTGTCTCCCTAGATACCTATTTGGGATGGTTCTTCACAGTTGTCATTTTATCAGGTATAGTAACTATTGTCTCTTTCCGTGCTAAATTTTTCTTTGTTTTTTTGAGACAGAGTCTCATTGTGTAATCTTGGCCAGCCTGGAATTTGCTATATAGACCAGGCTTGCCTTGAACTGATACAGATCCGCCTTCCTCTGCCTCCCAAGTGCTGGGATTAAAGGCATGTGCTGCTATGCCTGGCTGGCTACATTTTTCTTTGGGTCAGGTGTTTTTTGTTTGCTGTGCTTTGTTTTGCTCACTCTATAGCCCAAACTGTTCTGGAACTCACTATGTATCCCTGACTGGCTCAGATGTATTATGATCCTCCTCTTTTAGCCTCCTAAGTATTGGGAACATTATGCATGGCATGAGGTCAGGAATGTCAAATCTCCACTGCACTAGATCTTGGGACAGTGTTGGCAAAGTGTGCTGAGTTCTTGTTCTGAATTCTTCCTTTGAAGTAGTGAATGAGAGTTACTTTTGAATTACTGTGACCAAGATACAATTTGACAGCTTATGGGAGGAAGGATTTATTTATGGTTTCAGAGGATTTCACTGCAACATGGCAGAGAAGGAATGATGGAGGAAG